GGGAGCAGAGCAGGCAGAAGGACCGAAGGACACTGCTGAGGGGAGCAGCGGGCGGCAGGAGAGGTCTGCGCGCCATGTGGGACCCTCCTCCGGTGGCCGGGGAGCAGCCGGGGATCGAACCGGCGCCGCAGAAGACACGGGCAGCTTCGCAACCCAGTGCCCAACTGCTGCGCCATGGGGAGGCCCCGAGACCATTTGATTTTAAAAATACACTTTTTCCCTTGGAGAAACAAATTTAGTAGCATGGATTTCTAGTGACAAAATAAGGAGTACAACTGTAATTGAATGTTTATTCCATGAAGGTTTCTGATTTACCAAGTGGGAAACCTTTAGGAAGGACACATCTGCACACCACCTGAGGCTATGTTTGCTCAATGAATCATAAAAATTGCTCTTAGGAAAAGCTTCGAATTTTCCAAATAGTTATGATGAATAAAGGTGGAGATAGCAGTATTTAAAAAGCATATATATGCTTTACACCACCACCCCCCTCCACCCCTCACAAAATGCACACAAATAACCTTAATCATTAGTTTTCATAGAGTGATCATCCTCTGGGGTTTCTCTGTAGTTGAGTGAAGACCTGAGCTCTGAAAATTTTCCCACACTCATTACATTCACAGACTTTGTCTTCAGTATGACTTTTGTCAGGCCTAATAGGGTCTGAGCTCCATCTGAAGGCTTTTCCACATTCATTACAGTCACAGGGCTTTTCTCAACTATTAATTCTATGATGTCAAATAAGCTCTGATTAAAATTCTTGGAACATTCTCTGCATCCATATGGCTTTTTTGCTCTGTCATTTGATGCTGAATAGTTGTGAGCTCCCCCTTAAGACTTCCCCAAATTCATTGCATTTATAAGGCCATTCATTTCATGAGATGTGTGCTTAATTGAAGATTAATATCGTCCTCCCTCAGCTCTCACTCGACTCTCTAGCCCCTGTCACATATTAGACATTCAACAGGCATTTTTTTTTTTTTTTTTTTAAAGATTTATTTATTTATGCATACAAGAGCTGGGGTACAGGCCAGAGAAGCGGAGGGTGAGAAGATTCACCAGAGACAGGTGGGGAACAGAACAGGCAGACCCACAGAAATACACTGCTGAGGGAAGCAGCAGGTGAGACAGGAGAGGTCTGCTTCACCATGTGGATTCTCCCTGGCCAGCTGGGGATCGAACTTGTGCTGCAGAGGCTGTGGATTGCTTCATAGTGTGGTGCTTAACCCCTTGTGCCACCAGGAGGCCATAATAGGCATTTCTTGCATAACTTTTATTTCAACATTAATAGTTGGAAACATTTCCATGCTGTAACAAAAATGTCCCAATTTTAAAAGTTTGATGTAATTGACAGAAATCAAGCTCTCTGAGGGATGAATGAAAAGATTAGTTTTCAATCAATCTGAGTTTTTCAAGTAATAGTTAATATGTCAAACCGAAGACAAATTATGGTTCCTCTCTGTGTCAATAGTAAGTTCAGTTTTCTCATTTAAACCTCATAATTATCCCATGAAGCACATTATTCTATTACCATTTTGTTAATGAGGAAAAATAAGTATCTGAGGGGTTATATACGTTGCTCCAGGTCCTAAAACAAAGGTTAGTACTGCATTTCAGACCCATGTCTTCTGACCATGCTCCCTCAGCTACACCAGATTGCCTCTTGAAGCAGTTCATCAAACTAAACATTTTTATCACACACTGGGTTCCCTTTGGGATGCACAGCTGCCCACATCACAGAAATGTTTAATTAAATGGCTCCAGATTACTGGTGTTCTAAATATCCACAGGCAAGGTTTTCTCAATCATGGTGCCTGACACTTGGGGCCTAAAAGAATTCTTTGTCATGGGGCGGGGCATGTATTATATTTAAAACATTCCTTGTCTTCAGATGCCAATAGTTTCTTTGCAGTTGGGAGGACCAAAATGTCCCAGGACATTGCCAAATGTCCCCGAGGGGCAAAAGCACCCCTGTTAAGAACCAGGACCCTCAAACATCTCAAACTATTCCCATTGAGGAATGGGAAGAGGTTGAAATTCTCCTTGTCTTACACTATCCCATTCAGTAACTTTCTTATCTGATGACTCATGTAAACTAATATACAATCTGCCAGTTGTTCAGAATGACAGAACCTAATTACCAATATTAGTTAACAGATTATATGAACTGGCCTTTCTCCAGAGTTCTGTTTAGATGCTCCAGTTCTCAAATATGCTGTGTCCCAATTGTCTGGTTCAAGACAAAACCATTCTCCCTATAACTATGTGACCTACCACAGAAGATGCTAATTCTTACCACTCATGTCACCTAAATGCTCTGCCCTGGCCCTCAGTCTAGCCCTATTCCCAACACATACCGCTTTCCTATCCCTATTACTTCCTGACACTACTAGTAATGCTTTTTCTCTGGGAAACACCTTATTTGGCCTTATGTCCTGGCCTCCAGGTATCCTGTTATCAAACCATTTTTGTTATTGTTTCCTCTCAATTTCATCATTGCATATTTTTATAAGGAAGAAAAAGACAATATATTAAAAACACATGTAAGGGGAAGAATTCATTGCAGAGAAAGATTTAATCACCCTAAAGTACTTATATCAAATTTATGTTTGTCACCAGACTAAGAGGTCCAGATTGAAATGGCTTGCTTTCATGAGGAATTTAGTTTTAGGGGTTGCTACCAAAGTGATTTCTAGTGATTTTAATAATGGCAAAAGCCCCCTAAAACATTTTTTATTTTTATTTTTATTTTTATTTTTTTAAATAATAAATTTTATTTTTGTATTCCCCATACAATTGCAGCCCCCCCATTCTGACCCCAATCCCTCCCCTCCCGCCCCTCACCCCCCAAAAAGTGTCTCTGGTTCATAGTTTTTTGTTGATTTTGATTTTCACTTTCTTATAGTTATTCATTTTCCTGGTCCCTTATTTAAGTAAAACATTTTCTTTTTTAAAGATTTATTTATTTATTTATACAAGCACTGGGTACAGTCAGAAGCGCGGGAGGGTGAGAGAATTCACCAGAGCCAGAGCGGGGAGCAGAGCAGGCAGACTGACTGCCGAGGGGAGCAGCGGGCGGCAGGAGAGGTCTGCGCACCATGTGGGACCCTCGCCCGGTGGCAGGGGCTCGAACCGGCGCTGCAAAGCTGCGGGCAGCTTTGCAACCCAGCACTCAACCGCTGCGCCACCAGGGAGGCCCCATTTTCAAGTAATTATATTTTGGGGTTCACACTCCAGTGTCAACTCCAAGGCAGAAGAAAGGCTATTATGTCCAAAAGCTTCCCCACTTATTTTTCATCCAGTAGGACTCTTAGTTTTTCTATTTGTAATGGTTTTCTTTCTTTTTTTAAAAAAAGATTTATTTATTTATGCATACAAGAGCTGGGTACAGGCCAGAGAAGTGGGGGGTGAGAGGATTCACTAGAGACAGAGTGGGGAACAGAACAGGCGTATTGACTGAAATACACTGCTGAGGGGAGCAGCGGGCGAGACAGGAGAGGTCTGCTGCGCCATGTGGATTGCTCCCTGGCCGGCCAGGGATCGAACTCATGCTGCAGAGGCTTCAGATTGCTTCATAGTACAGTGCTTAACCCCTTGCGCCACCAGGGAGGCCCTGAAATGGTTTTCAACAGTAAAAATCTACATTGCATTACGATGTGATCTCTATCAGTTTTTCTATTTATTAGGTTTCTGTTTCCTATTAAAGTAAGTCCTGTTTGGGGCCTCCCCTGGTGGCGCAGGCGGTTAAGCGCAGCACTGAAGCTGTCGGCAGCCTCTGCAGTGCCAGTTTGATCCCGGCCAGCCAGCTAGATACCCACATGGCACACCAGGCCTCTCTTGTCTCACCCACTGCTCCCCTCAGCAGTGTATTTCAGTCAGTCTGCTTGTTCTGTTCCCCCCTCTGTCTCTGGTGAATCCTCTCACCCTCCCCCTCCTCTGGCCTTTACCCCAGTTCTTGTATGCATGAATAAATAAATCTTTAAAAAAATAAAGTAAGTCCTGTTTGAAGACTCACATTTTTCAAATTCCTCTCTAGTATCAAGTTTCTGATGTTTAAGAAACACTGTGCGCCTGCTAAAGGACTTCACAGCTGCTACAAAGGGTTTCTCTCCAGTGTAAATTCTCTGTGACTAATAAGGTATGAGTTCTGACTAAAGGTTTTTCCACATTCAGAGCATTCATAGGGTTTCTCTCCAGAATGAACACAATTGTGTTTAATAAGATCTGAGCTGCCTTGAAAAGATTTCCCACATTTACTGCATACATAAGGTTTTTCTGTGAATTCTTTGATGTCTCATAAGGTCTGAGCTCTGATTGAAAGATTTCCCACATTCTTTGCATTCATAGGGTTTCTTTCCTGTGTGAGTTACCTGATGTCTTATGAGGCATGAGCTCCCTTGGAAAGTTCTGCCACACTGATTACAACGATGAGCTTTCTTGGTAAATTCTTTGCCCTTCTCTAAGCGCCTCATCTTTGCTGAAAATGTTCTCACATTTAAGTTTCTCTCCAATATGAAGTCTCTGATGTTTGAGAAAAGCTGTGTGCCAGATGAAGGATTTTCCACATTTCTTACATTCATAGAGCTTCTCTCCACTGTGGATTCTCTGATATTGAATGAGGAGAGAATGCTGCTGGAAGACCTTCCCGCATTCGTTACAATGACAGGGTTTCTCTCTAGTGTGAATTTTCTGATGTGTAACAAGGTATGACCTCTCGCTAAAGGCTTTTCCACATTCACTACTTTCATAGGGTGTCTTTCCAGTATGAATTATCCAAGCCCAATTAGATCTGAACTTCCTTGGAAAGTTTTTCCACACTCCGTACATTAGTACCATTTTTCTTCCCTATGAATTCCCTATGAACCTCATCTCTTGATGAGGTTCAAGTTAGAAGTGCAGACTTTTTTTTTTTAATTTATAATTTTATTTTTATATTCCCCATACAATTGCAACCCCCTGATTTTGACCCCAATCCCTCCTTTCCCCGCCCTCCCCCCAAAGTGTGTCTCTGGTTCATAGTTGTTTGTTGATTTTGATTTTTTTCTTTCTTATAGTTATTCTTTTTCCTGGTCCCTTATTTAGGTTTTCTAGATTCCTGTTTTGAGTGAGACCATCTGGTATTTTTCTTTTTCTTTCTGGCTTATTTTGCTGAGAAGTGCAGACTTTTTCACATTTGAGTTCCTTCCCAGTTTGTAGTCTCTGATGTTTAAGAAAATCTGTGCGTCCCCTGAAGGATTTCCCACATTCATCAGTATTCATAGGTTTCTCTCCCCATGGAGTCTCTGGTGTTCAGTAAGGCATGAACACTGCCTGAAGGTCTTCTGACATTCATTACATTTGAAGGGTTTCTCTCTGCTATGGATTCTTTGGTGTGTGACAAGGTGTGAAGTTTGACTGAAGGTTTGTCCATACTCATAACATTCATAGGGTTTCTCTCCAGTGTGAATTCTGTGATGTAATAATAAGGTTTATTATTATTAATAATGAGGGTTTTTTTTTAAAGATTTTATTTATTTATGCATACAAGAGCTGGGGTGCAGGCCAGAGGTGTGTTGGGGGTGTGTGTGAGAGGATTCACCAGAGACAGAGTGGGGAGCAGAACAGGAGGATCTACTGAAATGCACTGCTGAGGGGAGCAGTGGGTGAGACAGGAGAGGTCTGCTACACCATGTGGGTCACCTCCCTGGTTGTGGATTGAACTTGTGCTGCAGTGGCTGCTTATAGCTTCGTAGTGCTGAGATTTAACCCCTTGAGCCACCAGGGAGGCCCAGATCTGAGCTTTGATTGAAGGTCTTCCCACATTCATTACATACATAGGGCTTCCCTCCATTATGAATTCTCTAATGTAGGACAAGGTTTGAGCTTCCCTTGAAGTCTTTCCCACATTCTTTACACTCATAGGGATTCTCACTACTATGAATTCACCTATGTCTAACCAGATTAGATCTCTGATTGAAGGCTTTTCCATGTTCATGACATACATAGGCTTTCTTTCCTGTATGAATTCTCTGATGGATAATGAGGTTTGAGCTCCAGTTAAAAGCTTTCCCACATTCCTTACACTCATAGATTTTTTCTTTCTTTTATTTTTTAAAGATTTATTTATAGGCCAGAAGTGTGGGGGGGGGGGCAAGAGGATTCACCAGAGATAGCATGGGGAACAGAACAGGCAGATTGACTGAAGTACACTGCTGAGGGGAGCATCAGGCATGTCAGGAGAGGTCTGCTGCGCCATGTGGGTTGCTCCTTGGCTGGCTGGGGCTTGAACTTGTACTGCAGTGGCTGCAGACAGTTTCAAAGGTTGCGTCTTAACCCCCTGCACCACCAGGGAGGCCCCCTAGATTTTCTTTATATTATAAATTTTCTGATATCCTGTTATTTTTTTTATAAGAAGATTCCTTTTTTTTTAAAAAAAGATTTATTTATTTATACAAGCACTGGAGTACAGGCCAGAGGCACGGGAGGGTGAGAGAATCCACCAGAGACAGAGCAGGGAGCAGAACAGGCAGAAGGAATGAAATACACTGCTGAGGGGAGCAGTGGGCGAGATGGTAGAGGTCTGCCAATCCATGTGGGAATCACCCTGGCCAGCCAGGAATTGAACCGGTGCCATGGAGGCTTCAGACAGCTTCACAGAGCTGCGCCCAACCTGCTGCGCCACTGGGGAGGCCCATATCCTGTTATATTTGACTGTTGTTTGAAGCTCTGGCCACAAACCTCATATCTGGGATCTTTTTCCTACAGAAAGTACTGTTTCTTCTTCATTAATCCATGGCCTTTCTCTCCTGCAATGGCTTTCCTGGTGATGAGATTTATTTTCCTGATACCTCTCTCTTGAGAAGGGGTATGTCTCACGGCATCATATAAGGGGCTTACCCAATGCCTCAATTACTTGTCCTCATTATCACTGGTTTCAATTAAGCCACATTCCTGGGAGATCCATCTTTGGAGACTTTCTGGCACAGCACTCGCTTAATCTTTTTCTTCAAAAATTTCCATCTCTGGGGCCTCCCCGGTGGCGCAGCGGTTGAGTGCTGGGTTGCAAAGCTGCCCGCAGCCTCTGCAGCACCAGTTCGATCCCTGGCTGCTCCCCGGCCATCGGAGGAGGGTCCCACATGGCGTGCAGACCTCTCTTGCCGCCCACTGCTCCCCTCAGCAGTGTACTTCGGTCCTTCTGCCTGCTCTGCTCCCCGCTCTGGCTCTGGTGAATTCTCTCACCCTCCCGCACTTCTGACTGTACCCAGTGCTTGTATAAATAAATAAATAAATCTAAAAAAAAAAATTTTCCATCTCTGACTTGTAGTCCTTTATCTTATTACTGGTTTCAGAATCTGAAATGATATGTAGGTTATTCTATAATTCCTAAAGTACAAATATCACCTCATCACCATACTGGGAAGCTTAAGAGGGAGGAACAAAGAGTTTAGAACATTCTTCCCCGCTATTACTGAGATTTAGATATTAAATTTCAGAGATATTATAGCTACCACGGGAAAAAAACTTTAGTAGAAAAGAAACTTGCCAGGGTGTTGGCTTTAAATACAAATCTAGAGGAGACGAGCGAGGAAACTTCCTGGTGGAGATAGTTTCTAAACTGAGGCCTAAAAGACAATTTGATAACTAAATTAAAATAAAAAGGAAGGGTTTTTCAGACTGAGGTGATAGCATGTGCAAAGACCAAAGAGTGAGAGGAGCTAAGATGCAGCATGGATGCACCGTAGGACTCAAACCCAGAGGGCAAGATGGTCAAGGAGGAAGCTGGTGGAGCACTAGTCAAACCACTAGGGCCTTGTGTACCTTGCTGAAAAATCTGGATTTTCTCCTGAAGATAGCTAGGAGTCACTGAAGGAATTAAAGGGGGAGGATGGTATAATCAGATTTGTCTTTTTTTCAGACTTGTGGGACTGCTTTACAGAGAATGAAATGGTGCGTGCAGGCTGAAATCTGGGATACCAGTTAAGAAATTGCAGCAGTAACCTACAGTGCAGACAGCGAGAGCCTACATGAGTGCTGGCAGGGAGGACAGAGAAAAGTGGGTAGGGTCAATATATTAAAGAAGCAAAACCAATCAGAACTGGTGCTATTCTAGATGGAGGGGAAAGAGCAGGCATTAAGGATGACATCCCAGCTTCTACTTTGAACACATTGGGGACTGACTTGGGAGCTGGAGTGAAAAAGTGGAGGGGAGGGAGAGGAAGTGGTACATTCTATCATAGACATGTTATGTTTGAGGTACCTGTGAGACACCCATGAGGAAATGTCCAGGAAGCCAATGGATCAACAGGTCTGGAGTCCATGGGGAAAATCTAGAATGGAGACACATATTTTTGAATCATCAGCATACATGTTGTACCTAAAGTAAAAATGTGGCCCTGGAGTCCTAAACAGAACACAGCTTTGGAAGCAAGCAGAACTAAGTCCAAATCCTGACCTCTTAATCTCTCTCAACCATCGTTTCCTCAAATGTAAAACATTTGTATATGGCCCCTGCCCTCAAGGAACTTATCACAAAGGAATACCAGTTATTCCAAAGTTTTAATGTTTAGATTAAAAAAAAAAAACACCCCAATATAGAGAAAGCAACATACCAATATAAGCCTCTCAAGAATGTAAGCTCCATGGATTGGGGTGTCTTTGTTCTATTCAAAGTTGGAACAGTATCTGCCACATAGTAGGTGCTCAATAAAAAGTCGAGTAAGTGAATAGTAGGTTAACAACTTCCTTCTTTCCCTTGACTGAGTAATTCCTGAAATTTTTATCTCTCTTGGTTTCTATAATGCATGATATTCCAACCCATTCTTTATTTGTTCATTTTTTTTTTTTTTACTGTTTATAGCTTTCAGCTTTCTCCTCTTAAATATTGGTGTTACTACTTATCAGCCTCCATTCCTCTTTTTATATTCAGTATCTCAATGACTATCATATCTGGTTTGTTATTGCCTCAGCCCAGAATGAGTCATGAACCTAAAACTAATCCTTAATGCACATTTGAGTTTATATCCACAATGTAGCTTACTGTCAATACAATTTAATGTCTTACTGTCAATACAAATCAAATGGATAGGGCCTTAAGACCCAGCACTATGAAGTTATCGGCAGTCAGTGCAGCATGAGGGGAACAGCGGGCAAGACAGGAGAGGTCTACTGGGCCACGTGGGTCACCTCCCTGGCCGGGGATCGAACTCGAACTCGTACAGGGCACGCAGAGATGCAGAGGAGGGTCAAATGCGTAGAAGGCCCAACCCGGCGCACCACTAGCCAACATCCCTGAGGTCCCAGCCTCTTCCCACACAGAGGAACTAGGGGGTCCGGTGCTGGCCTCTTAAGTTCGGTTCTCCACCCCGCTTCCCGGGGGGCCCCAGGCGCCAGGGCCCCAGTCCTGCGAACGCAGCGGGGTCTCACTTCCAGGCCACCCCAGCCTCCCGCTCAACCGGGACCCCTTCCACGGCTGCCATCGTGCAGCCCCTGAGCCTCTCTGGGCGGCGGCTTCAGCACCTTGGACCCCGCGCCCACCGCCGGCTGACACTTGAGACCTGCTCCCCAGTGCGCCCCGCCCCGTCGCCCCCGCCCCGTCGCCCCCGCCGTCCAGCCAACTCGCGCGCGTGCGCCCCCAAGCCACCGCCCACCGGCCCAGGGATCTGCTCTGCGCAGACTCAGCCAGCTCGAGTCCGCTCGGTCTCGCGCGAGTCGGAGTCCCAGAGGGTCCCGGGATCGGCTTGTTGCTGCACCACCGTACCATCGAGACCCAGAGTCCTCCCGGGGTCCTAGAGTAGCCCATGGCCGGGCTCCGGCCCCTTTCAGTGTTCCGTAAAGGCTCCTTTTGCACAACACGCGTTTGTTATACATTGTGTGACTCAATTTGTTGTTGCAGTGTAGTTCATGTCTTATTGTTAACTAGTACTCTGTCGTGTGGAGACAATACAATTTGTGCCGCTTTTCTTGATGGAACTTTGGGTTTCCAGGTTTTTGTTTTTTAAAATAAAACTGCTGTGAACATTCTCCAAGTATTTTTTGGGGGGGAGGCGGAGTGGGAGGGGGAAGGGTAAGAAAAACCTAAAAGTAGGATTGCTTGGTCTAAAGTAGATATATGTTTAACTTTATAAGGAACTACTAAACAGTTTTTCAAGATGATTGGTACCATTTTTCACTGCCACCAGAATGACAAAGATATTAAATGGTTGGGATAGACATGAATATTAAATGGGGAAGTGTTAATAGGACAGGGAGAGGGGCAGCCCAAACCCCGCAAACCTGCCTTTTCTAAATGGGTTCTGCCATCCGCTGCATCAACACAAAACATAGGAGACTTTAATGGGAAGGAACTTTAATAAAACTAGGAAACAATACAGGTAAGGCAAAGAGTCTAGTTTCTAAATGAAGCATCCAGAGTTACCCGTCCCCTCGTGGGTAAAAGTCCATCCATATGGGAATGGCCCAGAGCAAGGCCCCAAAGCCTGCCACACGTCTAAGGCATCTTCCAGTGGGGACCCACAGAAAAGGGTCAGAAACAACCAGACAAGCCCGGAAGGAAAAGAGCAAAATCAACATCAAGATAAAAGCTGCCATTGTCACCTCCCCATGGATCTCACCCACATCTGTGTCACCCCGTCCACGACCAAAAGACAAGCGCAGTTTCTTCACATGTCTCTAGGATCCACGCACCTCCTCCAGGTCTCCTGGCTCCATCCTGCTTCCTTCCTCAGTCTCTTCTGCAGCTTCTCCTCTTCCTGCTCAGCTCCACCCTCCCTTGGGTGGGGCAGGGAACCTCCCCCTTTCCTGGGGACCACCCTGTTACAATCCCCCCTTTTAATTTTTATTCCACCATATCTATGGTGGCACAGATCTCATGGTGTAATATTAGGAGACAGTCTTTTTTCAGGGTTACAATGTGTGTAAGAGAAGTAACAATTAGTCAGCAGCATTGTCCATGAATGTCCAGTAGGACAGTTTCATTACTTAAAAATAGTCCATTATCCAAGCCAAAAGAAAAAAAATTTGGAGCATTGGAGGTTTGCAAGGGTGTAATTGGAAGTTGATGGTTGAATATTTTCATGTTTTGAAATATTCCGAAGTACAGCTACTTAGGTAATGATTTTTTGGAAAATGAGGACCTCCAATAGACATGTTTAGAGCAGGTCTGTTTCGTTGGTGCTAAAGGGTAAAAAGACTTGAATTGTTACAGGGCAACCCCATATACAATGGGTTGCCTGACTGCGGGTCCTCACCCGCGTGCTTAAAAGAGACTTATTAATACTCAACTACAGGCACACACAAAGGTTTAATAAAAGGTTTATTTACAAGGGAAGGGGAATGAGAAAATGTACAACTCAGGGAGAAAAGTGGGAGATAAAAGTCTTAAATGCATCCTACCGGTTCTGCTGACCTGGAATCCCAAATGGCACCCTGAGAGCTGTCAGCAAGCCACCAGCCGTGAAGCCAAGAGACACCCGCCGCCCCCCCCACCCAAAGGCCCAGGTGCCTGGTTTTATACCAAACCTGGCTGCTTAACTCCATCCTCAGGTCCCAGCAACCCTTTGGTGATGATGGGATTTGTCTTTCCCAATGTCTTGATGGCTTTGGTCTGGAGTGGGGGTGGAGTCCACAAAGCCTGTATGGAATTAGCTCAGGACATCCTTTCCCCCTAATAGAATCTCTTTATTATAAGTGCAGTAGTTTTAAGGTTGCCTTTGAAATCTTTGAAATTCACCATAGCTTCTTTTTTGCAGTTATTAATGGTTTAGAGTCATAGAGATGGAAGGCATTCTGAAACTCAGTCTTCTACATTTTTTTTTTGAGCAAAATCAGCCTTGCTTCCTGCCTTCCAGCTTCTTTCCTTCCCTCCCCACCTCTCCTTCACAGTATTTTTTGGGCTTTTATATGTGCTAGGCATTGAGGATAAAAGCTAACAATATTGAACAGTTTACTATGCACTGCTACGGTTTTGCGTTCAGTTTTGCGTGCAGTAAAGCTCACCATGTATATCAGAGACTAAGACTAAGCAAAATGAAGAAATGAGGAGAGAAAGAAAAATATATTTAAATGAAGAAAGTAATTTATTAACTTGTTTTAACCATTGCTTTTGTTGTTTGGTCTGGGAATGTTCACAAATTTATTTAAATTATCTGAAGAAAATCCACCAATGTTCATGCAAATTACAAAGATAATAAAAAATATACATTGGTTACTCATTTCTAGAAAGTCCTTTAGTCAAATGGCTCAATCTTCTGTCTGAATTACAGAGTACCCACAAAATCTGGGCAAAATAGTTATTTTTTTTCTTAACTGCGAAAATCAACTTGCCCATAACATGTGAGATTCTTAATGCACCACTAGGTGGTGCACCACTAGTAGTTAATAGCCAATGGTGATTAACAGAATAAAACATTTTAAAGACACCTTTATTTCTAGACAACGGACAAATAAGCTTACTACTTAAACAAGAATCGCTCTGAACTTTCCTACCCTGTGTTCAAAAAGTCTATATTGAGGAAAGATGTTCACAAAATAGAGTTTAATTTTAAAATAAGTTTCAGAAAAATATTTATGCTTCTTTTCTCCCTCACTACCTCTCACTTCCTTCCTTCCACAAATATTGAGTACCCACCATGCGCCCACACAAGCTAAGTCACTAAAAATACAGTGGTGAGCAAAGCAACAATAGTGCAGCCCACGTGGATCTTGTAGTCAGTAATGGATGGACAGATGCATTGATCCTACCAACAACACTACAAGGAACATGTTCATACAACTGCTGGGGTTTCTCTAAGACAGTCGTTCTCAAAGTGAGGTTTGGCCATGATCAAAAGTATATTTGTAAAAACACCAAGATGTTAATTGTTCTTATTTGTGCTCTTTCACAAACGTACAGATGAGCTTTCCAGAGGCTACATAACACTGATATTGCAACAGACTGACTGTAGAAGCAGATATGAGAATCTGAGTATTTTCTATTAAGCCAGCTAGTAAAGAAGTTCACAAAAATACCCACTCTTCTCACTAATTTGTTTTTATTTGGGAAAATATAATTATTTTAATTAAAATGTCTATATTAATATAAAGGATTTATTATTTTGAATTAATTAATATATATTTCAAAGCCTCACTTTTAATTTCCTATAAAGTATATATCATTAATTATCTTCTGCATAAACAAAATCTCTTTAGCGTCCTCAGTGATTTTAAAGAGTGTAATGGAAGGCCTCGCTGGTGGCTCAAGTGGTTAAGTCTCAGCACTATGAAGCTATCTGCAGCTACTGCAGCAAGAGTTCGATCCCCAGCCAGGGAGGTGACCCACACGGCACAACAGAGCTCTCCTGTCTCACCGGCTGCTCCTCTCAGCAGTTTATTTCAGTAGATCCACCTGTTCTGCCCCCTCCTCTATCTCTGGTGAATCCTCTCACCACCACCCCCAACACCTCTGGCCTGTACCCCAATTCTTGTATGTATAAATAAATAAATCTTTAAAAAAAGAAGTGTAATGGAAGCCTGGTACTAAAATGTTTGCAAGGTACTGTACTAGGTTATGTGACCTGAAGTGGGGTTGCTGGATTATCTAGGGTGTCCAAATTTTCAATTTTACTAGATGTTGCCAAATTGTTCTCCAAAGTGGCTAAAGTTGGCCTTTAAATTTTTTTTATATATAGTTGGTCTTTTTTCTTCCCAGCCAGATCGCAAATTGAAAAGAATTGTGAAATTCTTATCAAGCTAGCTCAGTGATATAACAGAATCAATCTATGAAATACTGATTGAATCTTTTTTCTAAACAATGTGAGAAATGCAGGGTAATGCTTATTTTTAATGTACTCAGAGGAAGTTTTTCTTGGTCACCAAGAATAGCATTGTAGAGAGTCAACATTAATATATCGGAAAATTATTATTTTTGTTTGGTGCCTCATGGGAGGTAAAAGTGTACAAGTTATGCAAATAAAGTTCTTTCACCATCAGGGGAATTTCATTGTTTTTAAATATTGCCTCCTGCAATTTTTATTAAAACCTAAACCATGCTCCACTGACACACAATCAGTAAAAAAACAAAAAACAAAAAACAAAAATAAAACACTGAGGCATCTATATTTTTAAAAAATTCAAAGGTTTCTAGTTTGTAAGTCACTTTATAAGTGAGAGTTTAAGTATTTAGGTTTACTTTTTTGATTGTAGAATAAATTATTCAAAAGTAGCTGATCTAAAACTTTAACTTCATTAAGTTTTGGCAAAGAGATGTGGGTATATTTATTATAAAAAGTGGAGTTTTACAGCTTAAGGGCCAAGATGCAACAATATTAATCGATTATTACATTGATAGTGGTTTTGCATGTAGTGATTTGCACACTCTGCTGTAGTGAAAT